GCACGAGCACGTGCGACCGTCTGAGTGGAGCGTGCAGAAACATCGGTCGGAACTCTTTGACAAACAGCTCATTACTGATCTCGCGTGGGAGTGAGGACCAAATATTGGACTTGGGAGTAGCGTAAGGTTAACGGCGAAGTTGCCATTCAAATGGTCAGGGTAAAGCGTAGCAAGCTCTACGTTGCAGCAGTCTGGTATGACGGCCGCCAGATCAGGGGATCGTAGCATAAGTTTACGTTTGTGCTGCGCTCTGTCCCTGATGTTGGCCATGGTGTGAACTCTCACAATCGCTGACAGTGTGTGAGCAGTTGGTGTACGATGCCGCTTCAGCTGTTGGCCCTTGGGGTCACTAAGAGCCTGACAATGGCATGGCACACTAGTTTCACGATCTGTGTGTGGGAGTGTGGGAGTGTGTTTGTGCGGAGATATCCCGCCACTGCCCGAAGCGAGCACAACAGCGCAACAACGCTAGTGCGGTGCCGCATCTTTTTCCCGTGTTCGCGAGTCCCACGCGCGTCTCAATGATGTCGTCGACGGAGTCTTCTTTTGCAAGGCGCCCAATTCAACGCAATCCTTCTTGCACACATGTCCTTTCGGATGCAAGGTTTCCTCGTTATGAAGATCTTGCTCGGGAACCGTCGTCGCGATGCGTCGCGCCCTCGCCCAGACCTGTGGGCGCTTCAACTGTCGATTCCGATTCGGATCCAAAGACACATCATCGTTATCACCATCATCGCAGTCATTACCATCATCATGTTGCCGCCATCATCGTCGTCATCATCATCGTGATCTGGCCATCATCATCGCATAGGCATGCCCATCAGGGCTCTCGAGCGCGTGGTGGTACGGCTCGGATGCAGCACGCCGCGTCCGCGCTCCACGACGTGCTGTTTTGTGCGTTGAGTTGCACTGCTGTGTATACGTCAGTCGGGCGTTCTTGAAACGGCCTCGCCCTCGGCGCGTCCCGCCCTCGGCAGAAGCCGGCGGAAGGCCCGCCGAAGCTGGCGGAAGTAACACGGTGGCGGTTCCGCTGGCGAATGTTGGCGAAAGTGAGATATGTGACCCCGAGAGGTGCAGATTCCCTTCAGCTTCAGGGTTTCTGGAGCGGGTGTCTTCGTTTTCGCGCAGTCCCACGGTTTCGTGGCGCTTCGCGTGCCCCTGCTAGCCCATCGTTGACCGACTCCTAGGGGAGCTGCCCTGAGCATCGAAGTCTCGGAGCACGTAGTGAAACAGGGATGGGGGCCTCCGCCCCGTCGCCTTCATACTGTGAAGGCCTTACGGCCGGTGCCGCCGACCCTGAAGGTTTTGGCCGTCGATGGCGACGGGACGTGTGATCACAGGAAGGAGCTAAAGGACAACGTGACAGGGTAGGCGGAGGAAGAGGAGGAGATGGAGGAGGAGGAGGAGGAGGAGGGGGAGGAGGAGGAGGAGGAGGAGGAGGAGGGGAAGGAGGAGGAGGAGGAGGAGGAGGAGGAGGAGGAGGAGGAGGGGGAGGATATCCCCCTTCGCATCTTCTGCCGTTTGCAGGAGGGCCTCCCGTGCGGGGCAGCGCGAAGGCCCGCACGGCAGGGGAGAGGCGCGAAGGGACCAGCAGTCGGTCAGCAAGGCATTCGCTTCTGGCGACGGCCATCTCTTGAATCTCTCTGGGGGCTCGTGGGGCCATCTCTAGATCAGGAGCGAGAGAAGGACGTACATGTGCATGAATCCACGCTGGTTTCGAGAGCACGCATGGCACAAATGTTCGTATAGCGCGGCCGGTCTCGCGAATCGAGGGGCCGTGTTCATGTACATAGCTGGGTGCGTACGTCCTTTGTGGGCTTCCTACTAGAGGAACGCATAATGACATGAACATAAAAATTCAGAGGTCCGCGCGGATTTCTCGGATCGGCGCTGGAGGCGCCGCCTGGGGGGTCCAGCGCGGATCCGAGAAATCCGCGCTGACCTCCGAGTTTGTATGTTTATGTCGTTCTTCGTTCCCCTAAGCTGGGAGGTCATAGCCGCTCAGACATGTCGCCAATGCGCCTTGCGGGCTTGGGGGGGCCCGGGCCCCCGGAGCCGCCCAAGATGCCCCCAAGAGGACCTCAGGACGGCACCGAGAAGCTCCCAAGATCGTCTCTGACGTCCCGCGAGGTCTGCAAACGCCTCTTAAGAGACCCCAGGACGGCCCGAGAGGTCTCCAAGCCGACCGACAGAGCCCCCAGAAAAGCACAACATTCTCCAGAGAGGGCTCCCAAACGGGGCCAGCAGACCAGCATTCTGCACAAAGCCCCAAAGGGACCAGCAAGAGAGCCAATTATCCTGCTTCACCACGTCTTCGCTCCCTGCTGTTGCTGCTGCTGCTGCTGCTGCTGCTGCTGCTGCTCCCCTCCTTCCCCGCTTCCGAGACCCGTCAACCGATGTGGTGACCAAGACGACGGCGGCAGTAGCTGCCAGCTCCTTGCAACCCAGCGCGCGCGCCACCAGAAGTCGATCCGCTCAACTCCGTGGATTTAAGCCACGGGTCCATGCCAGTGTATGTATACACAGTGATCGCGATCTTAGTGCAGTTCTGAGGCATGTGCGGGCGGTTTTGGCTAGACATGTGCGCTCGTTGGGCGGGTACGTGCGCGGCACGTGGCCCGCATGTGCGGATGTTTTTTCCCCACATCCAAAGTGGGGTTCTTGTTTTCTCTGCACACCCCGCGCAGGAACACTCACCCCACCCCCTCTCCTCTTCTGCCTTCGCACACTCACTCACTCACTCATCATCATCACCACTCACTCACACTCACACTCACTCACACTCTCTCATCATCAACATCAGCATCATCACTCGCGCTCTCTCACACGCTCAGTCACTCACATACATCATCATCATCATCATCATCATCATCATCATCATCATCATCATCATCATCATCATCATCATCATCACTCGCACTCTGTCACATGCTCACTCATTCACATATTCACCTGGAGGAAGTCTCAGGCGGGAGTTCGTCTGTGAGTGAATTGTGAGGAAGTCTCAGGCGGGAGCCCCCTCCCTATGGGGCCCGCAGATCATGTTGGTAATCCGAGCAGGTCATCCAAACCCTGTAACTGTCATCACTTTTGGGCTCCTCAAGCTTGAGTACGGAGGAAGTCTCAGGCGGGAGCCTCGTTTGTGAGTGAATTGCGAGGAAGTCACAGGCGGGAACCCCTCCCTATGGGGCCCGCGCTTCATGTTGGTAATCCGAGCGGGTCATCCAAACCCTGTAACTGTCGTCACTTTTGGGCTCTTCAGGCCTGAATTTGGAGGAAGTCTCAGGCGGGAGCCTCGTCTGTGAGTGAATTGTGAGGAAGTCTCAGGCGGGAGCCCCCTCCCTATGGGGCCCGCAGATCATGTTGGTAATCCGAGCGGGTCATCCAAACCTTGTAACTGTCGTCACTTTTGGGCTCTCGCGCTGCCAGAACGCCATTCCCGGGCCACATTGTGCATGCCCGGAGCCAACTGTAGGCCACTTCGTGTTCTTCGTGTTCCCAGAACATCATTCCCGGGCCACATTTTCAAACCCCGGAGCCAACTGTAGGCCACTTCGTGTTCTTCCTGTTCCCAGAACACCATACCCGGGCCACATTCTGGATGTCCGGAGCCAACTGTAGGCCACTTTGTGTTCGTCGTGTTCCCAGAGCGTCATTCCCGGGCCACATTTGTGAATTTCGAATCCGAGGAGGGTCCTCGGAATTCGTATGCCTGTCGTCACTTTTGGGTCCCCGCGGCCTGAATATGGCTGTCATGGGCCTGCTTGCTCCAAAGGGCGACTGAGGAGCTGACGACGACGACGACGAGACAGCGGCCGGGCGCAGGGGTAACCTCTTGTGTCCGGGCCGGGGGTGGTGACCCATCCTCGGCCGAATCGGGGGCAGGGGTAACCTCTTGTCTCCGGGTCGCCGGTGGCGACCCATCGGCGGCCGAATCGGGCGCAGGGGTAGCCCCTTGCGTCCGGGCTGGGGGTGGTAACCCATCCTCGGCCGAATCGGGGGCAGGGGTAACCCCTTGTCTCCGGGCCGCCGGTGGTCAGCCATCGGCGGCCGAATCGGGCGCAGGGGTAGCCCCTTGCATCCGGGCTGGGGGTGGTAACCCATCCTCGGCCGAATCGGGGGCAGGGGTAACCCCTTGTCTCCGGGCCGCCGGTGGTAACCCATCGGCGGCCGAATCGGGGGCAGGGGTAGCCCCTTGCGTCCGGGCCGGGGGTGGGAACCCATCCTCGGCCGAAATCTTCGCACATTACATGTATTTCCCTCGCGGCACATTACATATATTTCCCTCGGCGGGGTTGTCCCACGGCTGCGCGACGTGGCCATTAGAGAATGCGCCTGTGCTGGCCGAGGCGGCGACGGCGCCGAGGAAAACCGACTGTGCGCTCGTGCAATGGAAAGGCGAGGCGGTGGCGGGGCGCGAACAAAACAGGAGGGCGAGGTCGGGGGCAACGTAGGGAGCGGGGGGAGGGCCCGCGCCAGGGCGAGAAGAAATATACGCAGAAGAGACAGTCAGGACGCCTCAACCACGAGGACGACGGTGAGCGTTTTTTCCAGATTCGCCCAGAGGATTCTCATGTGGGGTCCTTCCGTCGGAGTAATATTACGATTAGCGTTTATGCGAACGCTCGAATCGCAACTAAGCCATCACAGTTACGGATGAGTGCAAAATGCTGCTACTCCTGCTAATGCCCCTAACCCTCCCTCACTGCATGCTCCCTGAGCTCACGTTTCAAGCTACACTGCAGAAGACTCAGACCAGGGGAGAGCCAGGATATTCATGCACTCCTCCTGCTCTCTCGGTGTCTCGTGGCGCCGGGAGAGCACCAAGCGCAAGTGCCAAGGTGGGCACCTGCACCCCCGTAGCCCTGCTGGGGTGTTGTGCCGCCGCCCTCGGGGGAGGAGCTGGCTCAAACGCCGCTTCCTCGCACTGCCGTGGATCTGACCCCAAGGAGCGCGACCGGCCCAAGCTGCGGGCTAGGAGCAGGCACCGTGGCCGCTTCCTAGCGCAGGGTGGCTTTCAAGGCTCGCTTGCTGGCCCCAGCAAGAACGACGAATCCAGCTAGCGACCACATGCCTTGAATCGCCTTGGCGTCCACGTGCTTGGTGCCAGCGTCTGCTGGGTTCACCTTCCCGTGGACCTTGTCCATGAGCACTCTGCCATCATGGACGGCACGCTGTAACCACAGCGCCGGCGTGTGGATGTGACGGATCCTACCGACACCTCTGCGGCTTGCAATGCCGATGCCGGCTGTAGCGTCGACTAACAGCTTCACTGGTTTAGCTACGTGGACTCCCATGTCCAGCAACATCTGAACAGTCCCCAGACCCACTGAGGCACCCTTGACTGCAGCGTAGAACTCGCTTTCGCCAGAAGAAAGGGCGATGACCCCTTGTGTCGTAGAAGTTGCACGCGCCATGTGCTTGCCCTAGAACGTCATAGTGCAACTTGTGGACTTCCGCGTCTTCGGACACCCGGCGTGGTCACTGTCCGTGAACACGGTCACCCGCCCCGGGTCTCCCTGCACGTGAAAACGCTGCACAAGCCGCCCGGCTCCGACCAAGAACCGCGCAGAACGTTTCAAAGCCTCCATGTTGGCCCGGGTCGGCGCTTGCATCGACCGCGCTAGCTCTTTGGATGCAAACTGGCACTCCGGCCTGTCCAGGGCAGGGTAAGCGAAGCGCATGACATGGCTACGATAAGACTCCCGCTCTTGCGTGCTCAACGGTGTCTCGTCGGACCCAGCTGCTCGTTTGACACCAGGGGTGGCTACCGATTTTGACTCCTTGGCGAGTCCCAAAGAAGCTATCAGAATCTCTGCGTGCCTCGGGTCCGGCTCCCACTCAACGAACTCGTGAGCTTCCCCTTTGAACGGAACCCTGACGTAGCGAATGAGTCAGTTGAGGCATCTTATTTCGTCTACGTCTCCTAGGTCTTTGCATGGCCCCAGTGTGCCTTCATGCTTGGTCAGCATGTGCTTGCCGAGCTCATCGTGGAACCATTTTTGTGCATCACGCTCTGCAAGGAGAATGAAATCATCACCGTGCCGCACACACAGCGCATCTCGATCAACATGGTAGTAGATACACGGATTGAAAACTCCAACCTTGAAGCCCAACGCGATCATAGAGGTTTCTGCCTTTGTGTCGAAACACTTGCCTGCATCACGTGTGCCGTACATCGCTTTCGACAGCTTTGCAATACCCGTCTTAATGCTATCATCTTCCACCGGGGGGATCACGTACAACGGTCTGAGAGCTGGGCTGTGGAAGTGTGCCCGGCTGATGTCGTACAAGCCTAAAACTCGTCTCTTGTCACGGGCAATCCCCAATTGCCCAGTCATCATCAAAGACGCCATCATCCGAACAGCTTCCAAAGGTGGCGTGGCTGCAAAGGTTGCGGCCATGTCTTTTGGCTCGCTTCCGATGGTGGAGCGGCGCTTCGTCTCTTGCGCCACTAGCCGGCTTCTGATGTTCATGTGGTCCTGGTCCCCCTTGTTGATGTCCAGCCATCTCACGGGTATTGGTTTGCAACCGTCTGCCTCCATCTCTTCACGGGTCGCCTCCCTATAGACACCTAGTTTTCTCATGTACTCTACCTCTAGGCGCCTAGCTTCGACGACAAGTTTGGGATCCAAGACTGCCCCAGTACAGTCATCAACAAAAATGCTGTCTCCGTACGTCTCAGACCAATCCCTTTCTGGCGGCGCCTCCTCTACAGTAGGCCCGCCCGCCTCCAAAGGCTCTAGTCTTCCTACCTCCTTCAGCTCCTGCCTCAATCCCTCCAGTACTCTAAAGATGACCTCTTGTGGAGAAGAAGATGTGCAATGACGACTGGTACGATAACCTTTCACACCCAAGGAGTCCCGGAGTTTCGTACTATTGCTGATCCAACCTGTGGGTTTCTTGGCAGATCGTCCAACCACGCACTGATCCATGTAAACAGTACTTACACCATTTAGGGACAACACTTTACGTACACATGGTAATGCCCAACTTGCTGCATGCCACGCGTGCTCATGTAGAAACAACATACCATGACTGTGCTGATACTCGTACAACTTGCAAACGAACCTAGTGTGCGCGAGGCCTTTGTGGAGCTTCTCGTGGTCCCCCGGGGATCCAATTAATAAGTACGGCTGCTCTGCAACAACGTGCTTCCAGGCAAGCTGCCGGTGTTCAGGAAGATCGAAATCCCAACCTGTACGCAAATCCATGACAAGACCTGCACACAACCCAAAACGATTGACCTTTGCAGAAGATCCCGGCTGAGAGAAAACCTCATTTACGTGCACCTGGTCCCCTAACTGCATCATCATCTGAAGTACCTCATTGTGGCAATTTGCCTCAAAACGTAGCTCGGAGAGACACTCTCGCTCGTCACGTTGCCAATCTACCTTTGCCCTTTCCGCCTCTGCCTCTTCAAAGGCACGGAAACCCAGGAACGACTCCTCGTCCCCCATCTCGGCGTCTGCCGCCGAGTCAGCGCCAGGATTGGCATCCCGGCCGCCTCCTGTCCTGCTTTGGGAGCCGGCACTCTCGCCGCGTCCCGTCTTCACGACCTTAGCTGGTCCTGCGCTGGAGCTGGCACCGGGGCCGCTTCCAGCTACACTGTGGGGAGCGGCACTTTCGCCGCCTCCCGCCTTCCGTACCCGAATTGGGTTCACACTGCCAGAGCTGGCACCTTGGCCGCTTCCGGCGCTCTCGGCGGATACGCCCATAGGAGCTTGCGTATCCAGATTCCCGTCCCCAGCGACATCTTGAGGCGGATGGCCGCCATGACTGGGAGCTGGCACTGTCACCGCTTCCCTCCTTTCGTTGGCTGCTGCTACCCTCGTGTCCCCCTCAGCCTCCATTGCCCTCTGAATCCTCCCCCTGCACTCCTCGCTATGATTCCTCGCTATCTTCTCTCCTCTCTGTGCTGCTTGGCATCCTAAGCACCCCTCAGTAAACCCATACCTTTTCAACTCAATCTCCTTTCTAATGTAAACTCTCCTCGGGAGAGGATCTCCGCCGGCACGAGGTGGAGGAGGGAGGTCACGATCTGGGACAACAGGCCGCACTGTCAACGGCCTGGCCAGAGGCGCATCTTCTTGGGATGCCCCTGATAAGCTAGAGGGCACCATTTTCCAAGGCGTTCCAACACACGACCTAAACAACGCTGGGTCGGAGGCGTCAGCCTTGCTCATTCTCTTCGCACTGCTGCTCCGGAGGCAACCGGAAGGTGTAGCGATGATGTACTCGTTGCTTTTGTCAACGAACCCCACAAAAATACCTTCCCTCCATTTCGGTTTCTCGTCCGCCGGCTTCACCTTCGAGCCGCCCTCTATGAAGTGGACCTTTTCACCCCATGGCATCAAAGGCCTGGGGAACTTCAGCCTCCCTGTCATTCGCCTCCATCCGGTTTGACCGTCTTTGCCGACAACTGTCCTACTGATGAGTTGTCCAGCGTACTGGACACACCAAGGCAAGAGCGCAGACCGCTCCTCCTGCGGGATGCCGTGCAACTCCGCCGCATAATGCCAAAGACACCGGATTTTCGTTTTGATGATGTTCACGGCTGACTCCTGCAAACCTCCTGCCTGTGAATCCCCATGTGGCGTAAGATCGGGAACAACACGAATACCTAACTTCCTGACCTCCGCCGCCACTGCTGCCATCAAAGCCTTAATTGCGTTTTCCCCATCAGATCGTAATCGGATTTCAGGGTGCCCTAACATAGCCAGATGTTCAGTCAGCTGTTTGATTGCATGTTGATCTGCCCCCTTGTTGTGGACGACGTCAGAAAACGTGACTTTAGTACTGCTGTCCCTAGCCACCAGAATTGGAGCAGAATCCTCCGCCGAAGCCCCACCTGGACCCAGAGCGCCGTCCCGGAAGAAAGCGTAATCACAAGCTACAGTAGGGATGTCGCTACTCTCGCCACTTCCTGCGGAGTGTCCGTCTCGCCGCCCAGCTGCCGCCACGCAGTGCCGACACCAGGCCCGGTACGGATAGTGATCCACATTGTGATCTTCAATCTCTTGCGCGCTCGGCTGTCTGGGCCGCCGTCGTGGCTTGACCGGGGCCCTCTCCCCAAGCGCCTCTTCCTCGAACTCCTCCTCCATCCCTACATCCTCCTGTGCTTCCTCCTCTGCTCTGCCCTCTGCTCTCTCCTCTGCTCTCTCCTCTGCTACTGGTTGTAGTACATGGTCGTCGCCATCATCATCGTCACCATCATCATGGACATCTCCTCCTTCTCCTCCTCCTGTCTTTTTCCTTCGGTCCCCGATGTAGTAGTACTCGGTTCGAGTACTGTGGGCGCTAGCACTTCCGCCGCTGCCCGGCTGAATTGGGGTATTGTGGGCGCTGGCACCGATGCCGCCGCCCTGTGCTTCCGTGCAGGTTTTGGTGAAAGGAAAACTGTTTGCCCCGCAACAGGGTCTTCTATGGCCGTTGAAGGCCGCACAGAATCTGCTAGGGCTGGCACCGCCGCCGCACCCAGCTAAAGTGAAACTCGTGTGTGGTGTGTTTCGGGTGAAACTGTCTCGGGCCACGTTGGCCCCGCTGGGGCTGGCACCGTCGCCGCTCCCAGCACTGTCAGGCATCTGACCGTCAGCCACAGGAGGGCTTACGGGCGAACGCCCTGCCTCGAGAAAGGTCCCGGCTGCTGCCGAACCTCCTCCAGCTGGTCCTGCTTCATGGAGATGTGCACGGCCCCGTCCGCCGCCTTGACGATCTTTGGGCCTGGCTTCTCCTCCACGCTCGTCGTCTCCCTGCTCGCCCGCAAGGCGGACAAGTACTCCTGCTGCACCTCGTTCGCCACCTCCGGGGCCTCCAGCTCCAGGGTGAGGTCCCAGCCGCCCTCCGTGCGGACGAACTCCTGCTCGCGCCCCGTGGCCTTGTCGTAGGCGAACGACCGGTCCCAATCGAACACGACAGTCTGCCCCGCACGGCACATGTCGATCACGGCCATGAGCGGGTTCCGGACGCGGGCCGCCCGGGTGCGCAGGCGCTGTGGCTGGCCGTTGGGCCCTCCAGAAGCCTTCGTCTGGAGAATCCTCTTCCCCTCGTCCTTCACTACGGCTGACCCGGCCGTCTTGTAGACCCTGCCGGTCTCTCCATCCGTCCACGTACGGTACCCACGGACTGCAGGATGGTCGGGGCGCACCACCGTCTTGCAGGCGCCGGAGTCAACCCTGAAGGTGATGCACCGGTTCTCGCGGTCGCGCCTCACCTTGTCGTTGGAGAGCGAGCACAGGTACCCGAAGTCCTCCGCGCCCTGCTCCTCCATCTCGTGGAGTCCCTTCTTCTTCTTGGCCTGGTAGGCGTCGACCACGTGCTTGGGGGCTCGGCAGTCCCGGGCAAAGTGCCCTGGCCTGCCACACTTGTGACAGTCCCCCTTGCTGGAAGATGCTGCCCCGCCGTTCTTGGCGGATGCCTTGCCTCCTCCTGGTGCCCAGCACTGCTCCTTGGTGTGGCCAGGCTTTCCACAGTTGTGGCAAGTATTCCTGGGTGCGTTGTCGTACCCTTTTCCGCCACCGCGGCCTTTGCCACCGCCTTTGCCGCCTCCCTTCTGGTTCTTGGGGCTCTTCCAGCAGTCTTCCGCCTTGTGGCCAGGCTTCCCACAGACGAAACACTTTCCTGCCCCCTTCCCGGGCTTCAGGGCTCCGAGATCCATCGGAGATGCTGTCACGAGGTGACACGACTTTGCCTTGGCGATGGTGTCCACCTCCTCCCGGAACTCCTCGTACGTGACACACCGCTCAGAATGTAACAGCATGTGCTCGCGCAGCGCGCCGGCCTCCATGCCCTTGATCACGATGCCGATCTTCGTGTCGTCATCGATCACCTTCCCGGTGGCGGACTCGTACTTTGACACGGCCAGGTCTAGAGCCTCAAGCCTGTCCAACAAGTCGCCGCTCTTGAAATCCCACTGCAGGATCTGGATCATCCTGATGACCCGCGTCTGTCGTGTCTGTACGTCGTACTTTGCGAGAAGCAGCCTCCAGGCCTCAAGCCCTTCTCCCTCACCGGCTCGCTCTACGATGGTCAAACTTTTTCCATCGCACGTGGCGATGAGGCTCCCGTACAGCAGGGACGAGCTCGGCTGAGCTTTGGGATCGATGGCCGCCCTCTTGGCACTCGTGTCCCTGTTCGCGGCCACGTAGTCCATCCAGATGCCCACCTGACCTTTGTTCATGGCCCCGACGTACGAGCGAAACTTGAGATTCCAGCTCCTCCACGCCTCTTGGGTGCCATCGAACACGTCTGGTGCCCACTTTGACACCATTGCGCTGCTGACCTGGCTCTCGCTGCCGCCAGGGGCGTCTCTCTGGCTCGCTGCCACTTCGGCTGCGGCAATTCTCCCGTCGATCTCCTCCCTGTACGCTTTTTCTCTTGTGGCCCTGTCGGCCCTCTCCTTCTCCAGCTGTTCGCGGACCTGCCGGTTCTCTTGCTGGAGGGCCGTCATCTGCTGCTGCATCCCTTGCACCGACGCCAGCAGCTGAGCCACCTGCTCTGCCGTTGCCGCCATTTTTATGGCGTCTCTCTTCGAGCTCCCTGATCCTCCTCTCGTTCCTCTCCTCGATCTCCTGTACCTCGCTGGTCGCTAGCACAGTGGCCGCTGACCTACGCTGCTGAGGAGCAGGCGCCCGGGCCGCTTCCTCGTACCGCCGCCACGCGGCGTGGGCCCCTGCTGAGGCCTTCCGGAATGCACGAGAATCGTGCGCTCGATTGCCACGAGGTTTAGGCATCAGGGAACCATGGCTCCGCTACCACGATTAGCGTTTATGCGAACGCTCGAATCGCAACTAAGCCATCACAGTTACGGATGAGTGCAAAATGCTGCTACTACTGCTAATGCCCCTAACCCTCCCTCACTGCATGCTCCCTGAGCTCACGTTTCAAGCTACACTGCAGAAGACTCAGACCAGGGGAGAGCCAGGATATTCATGCATATTATATATATATATATCTATATATATATATATATATCGGAGCGTTATGATCTAGTGGCGTGTGCACGTGTGCGGCCATGTGCGGTGGCATGTGCTCTGAGTTGTGCTACCATTGTTCTGGTCTGGCCCCCGCCCTCCAGCGTTGTCTGCGGCTGTATGCGCGCACGTGCGTGGCGTGCACGGGAACCTTTTGCGCAGAATGTATGAGTAGCCCTACATACAAAGGGCGAAACAATTGGTGCCCACACCGCAGCTGCTTGCCCCGGCGCTGCCCACGCAACGCATGCCCGCACATGGCGCCGCACATGCCCGCACATTCCACCGTTCGTGGCCGCGCGGCTACACAGGGCCGCGCGCGGCCGCACATGCCCGCACAGCTCCGCACAGCAGGCCGCACATGCCCCCTCTGCCCCCGCCCCGCACCTCCGCACATGGCCGCACATCCCGCAGCAGACGACCGCACATGCCCGCACATGGCGCCGCTCGTCTCTTAGAGGGGGTGCGCGGCCACTTGCGGCCGCACATGCTTGCACAGCGCCGCAAGGGAGAGGAGGAGGAAGAGACAGAGCAGGAGTAGGAGTAGGAGTCAAGCTGGCCAGCTCGAGCGAGCTAAGCATGGCATGCCCATTCCCACCCGCCCTCCCTCAGCATAAGAAACAGTGCTGGCGCAACTGTGGACCGAAATCAGATCGGCAAGGTGATTTGCCACACCTGATGCAGCCGCGATGGCGGTTACCGATGGGGAACTACTGGCGCGTCTCAAAGGCTGCGTTGGCTTTTCAGCACGAGCCGAGGAGGCGAGGCCCCAGGAGGCTTCAGGAGGCCCCAGAAGGTTGCAGGAAGCCCCAGCGAACCCCAGGAGGCTTCAGGAGGGCCCAGGAAACCCCAGGAGGCTCCAGGAGGTTCTAGGAAGCCTTAGGAAGTGTCAGGAAGCCCCGGGGAATCCCAAGAAACCCCTGGATGCTTCAGGAGGCCCGAGGAGGATCCACGAGGCCCTGAGGAAACCCCAGGATGTTCCAGGAGACCCTGCGAAGCCCCATGGGGGCCCTAGGCGCGCGACGAGTTGGCGAGCGAAAAATGCGCGCCAGGCCCAGGCGGGAGCGCAACATCCAGAAAACATGCGCGCGGCGCCGACACGAGAGCGAAAATTCGCCCTGTCGCGCGATGTGCAAGCGCCCCGCTCCTGCCACGCACTTCACAGAGCCGACGACAAGAAAGTCCTCGCTGAGAAGAAGCATGCCGATGTTGTATAGGTTTTTGACAGGTAGGACGGCCCCTCCCGCTTGGGGTTGCCCCATACGTCCGCGCGCGATGTGCGCCGCGTCCCGCTCCTGCTGCGCATGTCGCATCGTCGACGACAAATCAGGCCATGTCAACAGGAAAGGCGGAGATGTTGTATTGCTTTGTTGTATTTAGTATGGGAGGGCCTGGATTGACGTCCGCGCGCCATG